AAGAGCTCATGTATTAATAGTACCCAAGGCCCAGAGGAGGCAAAAATCAAACTGGGAAGGAGAAAGTCTTCGGGGGGTCCTTCTCTCTATCTATGAATTATCTGTCCATCCATCATTCACAGGACTTCCAATCCCTCTATCTATATAGTATCCACACACAAGAGTGAGGCATGAAGACAAGGGAGGACAGGTAGCGAAGTAAATTGTGAAACAATGGACTTGCCTCTCCCGGCAGCTAACTAAAATTTGGTCATAAAACTCTCCTAAAGCTCTCATCTGTAATCACCCACAGGAGGGGGAGAGGAGGAAGACAAAGGGGCATTCTTGACACAAGCCCCCCCTTCCCTGTGACAGTATGCAAAAGGAACAAGGGACAGTCACCTCAGGCAACATAGAAGGGGATTCATGACTTACTGGAAGAGCTTATGGTGAGGTCCCTGCAGCTCATGTCTGGCAATGGCCTAGGACTCCCAGTGGGCAATGAGGGCAGGGCTGGCCAGTGGCTTTGGTAGATGAGCAGAAGTGAATGGCTGCTGTTCTGGGTTCCCCCGGCATGCCAAGAATGGCTGAGTCCTTTCTGTGGCCTGAAGTTGGCCATGCATGAGATAGAGCTGGCGTATGGGAGGGCCAGCAAGGCCCTGGTGGGCAGTCTGGCTTTGGCAGCCTTTGGAGGTGAACTGCTGGGCAGGCAGCAAGTGACCACCAAAAAGGAGTCCTTCACCAAGCCCTGGGACACGTACTGGAACATTGTCAAGGAGGGCTCTGAAGAGCTCACCAGAAGGTCCAGGGCATAAGGAGTCCACTGCACCCAGAGCATGCAGCCATGAAGTCAGATCTTTCCAGCCACTCTTATCTCCTTCCCTCCGTCCCAGAGGGGTCGAACCACACCTGGCCAGTTGGAGGAGGAAGCAGAGGGCATGAAGAAACCCGCAAGATGCCGAGCTGCAGCAGGCAGGGCAAGGGCTTGTTCTTACCACTGGGACTGAACTTTAAGCATCACAAGATCAATACTGATGGGTGAACTAGAGTGACAACAAGACCGTAGCATGCAAGGATTTCTGGCCGGGCCATGTTGCTTGCTTGAATGTTCACTGAGTGGCTGGGGGAAGAACTACCCTATGGGCAGGTCCAGAGGGACGTGAGGATGGGAAAACCAAGTCGCTGTGTGGTTACTCCCCCACTCAGCTGGTGACATGTCACATATGCAGGTGAACTACCCACATAGGGCTATAGCTCTGGACAGGGAGCTGGCATTCATTGTCCTCTTCATATATACTTTTCTCTAATTTTCACATTTCCTACAGGGGAGATATATTCTTTTTATAATCAGAAAGACATCAGTAAATGTTATTTCAAAAGAGGAAGTCTGGAAATTCCCTAATCCATGTAAAATATCACTTGTACCAGCCATGAGCATTCCCTATCATATGCCCAGGACTGCCAAAAAGAGAGAGAAACAACCCAACATCTGCACAGGAACTCCGTGTGAAATCAACTCCCTTCCCCAGGGAGGAGGGAGGAAGCGAGAATTGGGTATTTTGTTGTTTCTCTTGTAAACATGCTTTGGGGTCATATCCGCTTCCCCTTCCCCTCCCTCCTCCAGTTCGTCCCAGGCAGCACAGAGCCCCTTCCCAGTTTGACTGAAGAGGCCCATTTTTCAGGCATATTTCCAAGGAGAGCTTAAAGTTAGTACCTTGGCATCTTGGGGAAGGTGTTCTGAGGGGAGTATTAAGATGAAAAATGCTACATAAATGCATGTTGTCACACACGGGAGTGTCTTTTTAGAAGTGCACAGTGGAACTTCTGTGGAGGTGAAACATCCAATTAACAAGATACTTTTTTTTTTTTGAGACAGAGCCTCAAGCTGTCCCCCTGGGTACAGTGCTGTGGCATCACAGCTCACAGCAACCTCCAACTCTTGGGCTCAAGCGAGTCTCCTGCCTTAGCCTCCCAAGTAGCTGGGACTACAGGCTCCCGCCACAACGCCCGGCCATTTTCTGGTTGCAGCTGTCATTGTTGTTTGGTGAGCCCAGGCTGGATTCGAACCCGCCACCTTAGGTCTATGTGGCTGGCGCCTTAGCCACTTGAGCCACAGGCGCCAAGCCAATTAACAAGATCTTAAAAAGATTCTGAAAAGGGAAGTAGGGATTCAATGTTGCCAATGCTTGTCCAGCCAAAGTCACCCACTTCCCTCTGATAAGGCTGGTAGGTGGGTACATAAGAAAAGGCCATAGTATCAGGACACCAGGGCTCAGCAAAGCTGCTGATGAAGTTTCCCAGTATTCTGAGTCATGAAATTGCAGTATAGGCTGAGTGACCACATAGCTGGGGCAATTCTGGCTGGCTGGAAGTGATAGGTGACAAGAGATACATGTATAGCTCTGGGAGGCTGAGGCAGGTGGGACACCTGAGCTCAGGAGTTCGAGACCAGCCTGAGACAGAGCAAGGCCCTGTATCTAAAAATAGACAGGCATTGTGGTGGGCGCCTGTAGTCCCAGCTACTTGGAAAGTTGAGGCAAGAAATCCCTTAAGCCCAAGAGTTTGAGGTTGCTGTGAGCCATGATGCCACAGCACTTTACCCAGGGTAACAAAGTAAGACTCTGTCTAGAAAAAAAGAGAGAGAGAGAGAGAGAGATCCATGTATGCTTTTCAAACATGGCAGCTTTGCCAGGTTGGGGAGGCTAGATGACACCTACTGATGACTGATTCTAAGAGATGGTGATAAAGAGAACTGAAGAGGGGAAATATAATAGGAATAAGGGGATACTACTCTTGGGTCCAAATAGTTAACTGCAGGATGATAATAAGCTGATAACAACAACTACAGCATATTGTATGTAGGTAGAGTATTTCATGGTTTACAAAACCATTTTAGGAGCCCTAGCTTAATTTTACCTCATTTGAAAATTACTTAAGGGTTGTTTATGTTGACCACCAGCTTTAAGTGAAATCAAGGGAGTGATACACAAAAATAGAAGCCAATGATACCAAAAATAAAAAGCAAGTGCTCCTGTTCTCTGAGCACACCTGAGGCACTGGGTTGCACCCTTGCGGCCACCAATCAATAGTTAAAGTCATAAGGAGAAGATGGGCAGGGAGGTGAAGTTTTAGAAGCTAACACTACTGAGGGTGGTGACAAGAAGATGGAGCGATGTGAACAGTTGTTTTAAATATTTGGGCAGCTGTCATATTAGAAGATTCTATGATTATCAAAAGTGCAGAACTTCCACCAGTGAGCAGAAGTTTCGGGGATGAAGATTTTGATTGGAAGAAAGGATCTAGACGTTTTGAAACTAAAATTAGGATCCACAGAATCACTGATGGGAGAGTGACATGGAGCAACCACCTTGGGAAGCAGTGCAGCCCCATCCTTTGGTGTCGTTCGGGCATGCCCCCTCTGACTCTGCAAGTTTACCCCTGGACATACAGGTCCAAGAGAAGATCTTCACATGCCCAGCAGGACACGTGTACACAGATGTTCATAATGACAATTTGCAAACAACCCAAATGCTCATCAATGGAAGAGCGGGTGTGTGAACTGTCAAGCATTACTCAACGGTCAATTGAATTTAAATAATTTTTAATATTAGGTAAAAAAGCTCACCCACAATTGCAAACAACACAATATCTCTTCTCAAAAAAAAGTTAGACAAAACTAAAAAATAGGCTTTTTAACAATACACGTAAATGAACTAAAACTCTTAAAAAGGCAAGATGGTTATCAAGCCCTGCATGCACCCAGGATGAGAGGGTGCCATGAACCAATCCAATTCTGTCCACCTGGGGATCACTAAAAGTAGAGAAAGAAGGAAGGAAGGAAGGAGGAAAAGAGGGAGGAGACTGAACTTGCAGCTTTGTGGCCCAGTGAGCAAGCTTCTTGTCACCTAGATCACTGAAGCCCGAGGCAGGCCACCAAAGTGGCATGGTGGTGCCGGCTGTGAAATGCACCACAACCCTGATGAAGAATTGCATGGGTTTTTCCAGCCTGTGTTCTGCTTGCCAAGCCACAAATCCTGGTGTGGGGCTGTGTGTCCAGAGGAAGAACTGCCTTCCTCTTTGCAGAAATGAGCTGTCCCCTCACCCCTGTGGCTGTCTCTGCCTCCAATGGGCATACTGTTTTCATAAAAGACTCCGAAGCGGAGGTGGTTTCCAAGAGACCTTGTATTGGGTGTGCACTTGGACCAGGCGATCTCCAACATCTCTTTGAATTCAAGAACATGTGAGGAGGAACAACAAGTAGAAAGGGCTTTGAACTGAAATTCAAGAGGCTGAATTTGCCACTCAAGCCTGGCAACAGCTTTAATCACTCCTGGTTGGTTTCCTTGAACATGAAATGCTAATGCTACCTGCCTGAACTAGGTGGCTGTGACAATCAGAGTATAAGTTCAATAGAGGCAGGGATTTTCATCTATCTTATTCATTATTATATCCCCAGCCTCTGAAACAGTGCTCGGCATGTAGCAGATGCTCATTAAACATTTCAGAAATGCAGAGGGCCTTAGACTGTCCATGTGCTAATGTTTGCTGTGTAACATATAGTCTTAAACAAGTTCCTGGATTTAGGTCTTAACCTCCAGAGGAAATCTTTAAGAGCCAATGAATTCTCTAAGTACTACCAAATTGTGGGAAGCATCAGTTGTCTGAGACCACAGAGTGGCTGTCAGAGCTTGTGTGGCGCTGAGCCTTCACATCTCTATGCAGGACATAACAGCCCAGCAAACCTGGCTCCCCAAGGAGTGTTTGGAGGAGCCACAGGTGCCACCCAGGGCTCATCTTTCCTGGCTCCTCACTATGCAGTATGGACAAAGGAAGGCAGCAGAATGGCTTTTCCATGAAGGTGAGGCATGTTGACCATCTGATTGGATTCCCAAGACGAAGCCAGTTGTACCCACAGAGAACCCAATAGACCCAAATACATTTCGAAATGTCCTCCGTGAGCTTGCTTCCTCTCCCCCCTTCATTACTTAGTGAATACAATATTCTAAATCTTCACAGCCTACCTTCCCAAATGTTGCTGGATTGACTTGGTTCTGAGCATTCTGCCCACAGGTTTCCACATAAATCTCATACATGAGACAGCGAGGCACGCTGTACCCTTCGCAAATGCAGAAATTATCAACCAACCTGGGGGCAGAGGAGGACAAGGAGGAGAAAATTGGTATTTGTTTTTGTAGAGCAAGATATTTCGACAAAACCAGAGGTCAGACCTGTGTGGAATCCCCACATAAATGAAATATGTCTAATTTATTGAGTGGAACCCTGCAGTCTCACAATCAATATGAATAATGTGTCCTTTAGTCTTTAGGTCGGGGCTAAGCATATTTCTTATGGGTTTTTAGATTATCAACATAGCAGGTTTTCAGTTTTATTTGTTTGGGGGCAGGTGGGCACGCTACAAGGAAGTCCAAATGATTGGGTTCCGCAGACACTGTTTCTTAGACCTTTGTAAAGGTTGTAACCAGCATCTACAGCATTATAAAGTGGACAATGCTTTACTCGGCTTCCCAGTCCATGAGTTCATGTCTTTCCCTCCCTCATCCTCTCTACTCTGAAGCGGTTGCTTGCATGATTCTTAAACCCCTGTAATTTAGGGCAGGCCACTATGTTTTGAGCCTTTGAATAGCAATGAGATGTAAAATGTAAGACATCAGGAGACAGAGAGGCTGCACGCTTTTGTTCTCCTTTATTTCCTGGCGGGTAGGGAGCTGACACAGCATTTAGGCATCACCCACAGTGCTTGTGGCCTCTGCTCAAGGGGTGTCCTTCAATCGCCCAGATGCTCCCAGCCCTGGGGCAAGGTACAGTCTCTGGCCAAAGGGCTCTGCCTGAAGTTCATAGACCATGCCAGCGATGGCTGGAAATGCTTCTGGACTTGTAGATGCATCAGTCCAATCTCAGTGTCTTCAAACGCTCTTGTCCTTAGGTGTCGGTATCTCTGTGCACTTTCTCATAAGGACACCAACAATTGGACTTAGGGCCCACCCTAAACCAGTATGACCTCAATTTAACTACACTTGCAAAGATCCTATTTCCAAGTAAGGTTACATTCTAGATTCTTGAAGGACATGAATTTTGAGGGGATACTATTCAACCCAGTGTGGGTTCCCACAAGGTAGATTTTTCTGGGAGGCTCTGGTAACTTAGCCTGGGAGCCTGACACATCAGATGCTTCGTGATGGTTTAAAGACAGCTGCCACTGCCTCAATCATCCAGCTGTAAGTTGGCTATCTGGTGCTCTCTGTTGGTGAAATGGCAAGGGCCAAATTCATATGTCTAGGTGACATTTATATTTCTTTGGTTAAGACACTAACATATGAAAAACACTATCTCTGAAGTATCACTGAAAAACAGTGGGCTAAGTTTGGAGAGCTGTGGCAAAATCTGCTATGTGTCAAATTCGAACTCACTTCTTATTTATTCATAGGTCTGCTACAGATTTAGTCAGGGAACTATCTCCTAAAAGGAAATGTACAAAATACAACTTCTTAAGATGAGCTCTAGTTTCAATTTTTGCTGATTATCTTTCTTGTCACAGATACTCATTTGCTCTGAGCATATCTGTGAATCATTGTCCTCTAATTTCAAAATGACATTATGGAGTCTGATTGTTATCTGAGCAGACCGGTAAGGCCAAATAACACTATTTTGTTGTTTGTTTGTTTTTTGTTTTATTTTGTTTTTTTTGAGACAGAGTCTTCCTTTGTTGCCTTCTGTAGAGTGCTGTGTTGTCATACTTTTGGGCTCAAACAATCCCCTTGCCTCAGCCTTTTGAGTAGCTAGGACTACAGGTGCCTGCCACAATACCTGGCTATTTTTAGAGATGAGGTTCTGCTCTGACTTAGGCTGGTCTTGAACCTGTGAGCTCAGGCAATTCACCTGTCTCGGCCTTCCAGACTGCTGGGATTATAGGCGTGAGCCACAGCGCCCAGCCAAATAACACTCTTAATAAGGAAATAAGAAAAGTGTGTGACCAAGTGTCCTTTCTATGCCACACTCAAGGGCTGCCTTCTGGATTGGAGCCCAAAGATTTGCTCTTAGCCTGCTTGCTGCAACAGATTTATCTCATTACTGACCATGGGCCTTTGGTTGTTTCCCCAAAGTTCTCAGCCAGACCTCAGAGACTGGCCGGTGGCAGTCAGTATACATTAAGTGGACAAATGGAGGGTTAAACGAGGGCTTTGTAACAGCAGTTGCCTCAGTCCTTAGTCTCAATAAAAATGGGAAATTATGAATATCACAGTCACAAAAACCACAGCTTAGTGCCTGCTAGACCCAGGTTTAAATTCCAACTCTAAAACACCTGAGAGTTTCTGCAATTAGAAAACAAGTACACTGGCTTACATGAGGAAGCTCTTACTATTATCTTTTTTATGTCTACCACTAAAATCCAGAAGGAAGCAAGAAGGATATCGGTGTTGGCAGACCGGAGCACCTGCTGTAGGTGAGCTTGGCTTCCAGCCACCTGTGGCCCTAAGAAGTGGAATGGGGAATGTGTGAGCACAACTACTGGCAAGTGACATTGGTTCAGGGTTTTACACTGTGCCACCAAAATGCCCTCTGATGATCCATGATTATCAGGCCTATCTTTACTTGCTTTACTGCATAATAAAAAATATTTTCCAGGGTTGCTGTCAGGTACAGCGGATTCAAAACAAGAACATTCATGATGTTTTCATTTTGAGTGAAGGACAATCTGATAATTGCTAAAAACTTCAGAGCACACAGATCCAGTCGGCCAGGGGTTTCCACGTTTTCTGAGTACTCCTTTATACCACAAAGAAAATTGTCATGAGTCCCCACAGAAGGAATTACAGTACCTTTGGCTCAGCCTGATCAAAAGCTACTGTGATTTCTTTACCTTTCCAAATACATTCTGTGTTTTATTAATTTCAACAATCTACAGAAAGTTTTGAAAGTCTCATTTATACACTGGAGACAGTTATTTAATCTTCACCAGGGATCAGGATGCATAGGGATTAGATGATGCCTAGGGTTTCACACAAGGTCTGAAGTCAGGGGTTCCCCAGCCAGACCTGCTGGGTCTGCTCAGCAGGGAAGTCAGGTTCTTTATTTCTTGTGCTCCCCAGATGCTCAACCACTTCTCTCTTTGTTCCTGTCTGTGAAACCAAACTTTCTCTTACTTTCATTCCCTGAGACTAGCCAGGTCTCCCGAGACTTTTCTCCTGGGAGGATTTATTCTGTGCAGATGACAGTGGCCCTGATGTCTCTAAGACATGTAGGAGTCCTAACAAGTGACAGATTGGAACATGAAACAGTGAAGTAATGTGGAAAATGGAACACTTCTTCCACAAGACAGCACTGGGGCCCATCCCTGGCCTTTCACTCGGAAGCTGGCTACTGACCACTTGCCCACTCCTGCCACTGTGGCTCCTTGGGCATCTTGTGACATCTCCCAGGATGTCAGGTTCTAAACTATGAGCAGAGAGGCTGGCTTTAATGCTGACATTAAAACTGCCAGAGCCCACAATCTGTTAATATCCCACCTCAGTGACGAGATACCTATAAGCAGCCCTCCCCAATGAGGAGGGGGACCCTCCCTACTCCCACCCCCCAAACTTGGAGAGTGTGCCCTTGCGGGTCAGGGGCCTGTAGGAGTAGGGAGTCACAGCATGGGACTTGTATTAGCCCACCCACTGCTTATCATCCTAAGGACCTTTGGTTACCATTTGAAACAATTTAGGGCCTTTGCCCCAGTCAAGTTCATGAATGGCCTTAGGAGGGTGTTCAGATATTTTTGAACCCATCTCTAATCATTCTTTCCGGTCTGAAGAATAATTCAGTCCCTGAAAACGCTAATATACTAACTAAATGGCAACCTGAAAGAGCGGACAAAGGCTTCCTGAAAATGTGTGTGCTTCAGTACTTATTCTTTTGGTTTTTTCCCCCTCATGCAAGATAAGACATATCAAAAAATTTCTTTGGGAGGAAAGTGGTAATTGTTTAGGCCTGTTAGGGTTAGAATTACAAACACACCTTTCATTTTTCTATTTCACTCACATGACTTTTCCAGAAAGTCTTCGCTTAGAAATAGTTCTTGAAATGTATAAACAGAAAAATGTCGCATATTATGTAATAGTTATTCACCTTATAAAACTAAGGTCCTAGGACTGGTTTCAATTATTTTCCTATTTCTGAAAAACTACAAACCCATGAATTCGTCAGCCCCAAGAACTAAGCGTGTTTCTCTTTCTCTTTTTTCCTCTGCTATTTAAATAGTTAGAAGTGAATTTCACAAACAATGTGGAATGCATTGTGACAGCTAAAAATTGCTTTAAGTTAGGAAACGACCCATTCTGGAGCTTACACTAGGAGAAAACATTTCCTGCCCCGGCCAACGCCCAGGTGCTCTCAGATGTGTGTGGAGGCACAGTCCAAGCAACAAGCCCCCCGGGGAGGGGGGCCGGTCTGGATTGCTTCCCGTGGGAAGTGTGACCAACAGCGGAGCCCACAGATGGAAATCCCAGTCCCAGTGCTGACTCCCGAAGGGGAGGCCTTTGCAGGAGTGTGTGTGTGTGTGTGTGTGTGTGTGTGTGCACGCGTGCGCTCCACGCTCAGGCGGGTCATCATTAAAAGGCTCTGAGCCTGGGGGTGAACTGCCCTCCTTTAGACCTCGCACTTGGCTTTGGCTGGACACGCGGGAGGCAGCAGCTGCAGGAGCGACGCTTCCCCCTCCCCGGTCCCACCTCTTCCATTCGTCCCCAGGCGCCCCCGTCCCAGTGGGAAGGCGTCTGGCGGCTCACCACTGGATGATGCCGCTGTGCAGGCCCCGGTTGCCCCCTCCGCCCGACGGGGAGGCCGGCACACCCTCGGCCATGGCTCGGACCCTGGCCCGCAGCACCGAGGAGGCCGGGAGTGGGCGGCGGTGCGTCCACGGGCGCTGGGCTGCACCGGTCCCCGCCGCGCCGCTCCAGGGTGTTTACTTTAGAGCCGGCAGGAAGGCACGCGGGGGCGCGCGGGACGCGGGGACTGGAGCGCAGCCTGCTGGCCCGAGACCCGCAACCTCCCTCCCGTGCCCTGCGGGACGCTCGGACCGCTCCCTGCGCTCTGCAGCGCGTGTTGGAATTGCTTGCCATTGGATTAAAAAATTGAAAGACAAATACAGCACCTTTCCCACGTTTGTACCAAACAGTCAAACAAGCCACAAATAAAGCTGATGTATTTTCAAATTGGGTCACCATGTTTGATTAGCAGGGGTCCCCGATTCTGGCTTCACATTGGAATTATTTGAGTAGTTTTCAGAAATATCCTTGCCTAAGTGCCACCCTCATACCCCCAAGCGGTTCTGATGTAATTTGTCTTGGTTGGGGACCGCGGCCTATGCCTAGACAAACTGGCTTTTCCGAGCTCCCCAGGTGATGCTGATGTGCCCCCAGTTGGC